CCGGGCCTGGGGCTTCGGGCGGGGCCCCGGGGCTGGTCGAGGTTTGAATGTAGCTCGCTGCACTTCGCTGGCGGGCCCTTGCAAGCTGCGGGGAGGGGCGCGGGGGGCGGAGGCCAGGACTCAAGGTTCCCCGGACCCGGGCGCACCGCGGATTTTAGATCCAGGACCCCCCGGAAGGGAACGAAAACTCTCCCCTCCCGCCCCTCCCCCCCCCCAATTTACCAGCATGGTGGTCTTCTTTTTGACATCTGATGATAAAGCCGGAATTCCTTCGGATGCCTGTCGTTGGTGGCGATAGCTGTGATCGTCTGCGCGGTTCGCTTCATCTTGTATGTAGAACAGCGAAATGATAATGTTTTCCTCCTCTTGCCTGTTTTCCACAAACGGCTTTCATTAAACATCTCGGTGCTAATGGTACTCTCCTGAGCAGGCTTTCTAAAAAGCATTAGTGACACCAGTGTTAGTTGTGGAATATTTCAATCTTGAAGTCTTTAAATGGATTTTAATATCCTACTGTTTGAGTTTCATGAAGGATAATCCAGCATCGCTCTCCTGATTTATTAAAGAGTCGTTTGGAGTTGGGCCTAATTTGACATTTTTTTTCTTTACCCCGAGTGAGCTCTCTTACCAGCGTAAATGTGTCCAGACGTTATATAGCAGAATTACTGTGGTCTTTTCCTGTTAATGTATTAGTTGTCAATATATATGCAGCCTCAGTGGGGGTCTTGCAGAGTCACATGTAGGCTCCCTCATTAATCCAGATATTTTTATTAGAATCAGCTAGCTGTAGCGTTTTATGCCGGTGTGGACTCCCTTACACTTAAATTTTCTTGTGACTGTGTCTTTTATGTTGAATGAAGGAAGTATACTAATGTTTATTGAACACTTCGTGGCAGGTACTGTGCTAGGTCCCCTTTCTCATTTTATTTGAACAGCCACTTGGAGGGAGGGGAGGGAAAGGTGGTGATAACCCTTTTTCAGGTGAGAAGGTATTTTGAGGTGGAGCCAATTCCTAGGTCAAACAGCTAAAGAGTCAGACTTGAGATTGTAGAATGAAATCCTAATTCAAATGCTGCAGCTCTTTCCATTACACCCTACTATGGAATAGTGTTACTAATAATTTTAGATTTTAGCACATTTTACTATTGTAAGCAAATCTATTTCAGACATATATTAAAATTTAAATGGTCATATTTTTAGAAATATCATAGAGGGCATATTTTACCAAGTGTATTAGCTAGATAGACTACTTAGAATTCTTTTTTTAAAAAAAAGACTACTTGAATCTTGAGTTTTCTCATTCTCTTCAGGAGCAAACGCTTCACAGCATACAACTGTGAAAATTAACGTGAACACAGAGGCTTAGGAGCCAACAGAGAAATTAGGTCAGGCCTAAAAGAAATAAAAGCCCTAGAAAGTAACAGAGAAAGTACTGCTTGCAGTATCACTTCTCTTACATACATCCGATTGCTGTTGCACCTTATGGTTAAATATGCCAGTAAACATATCTTCCAGTTGCCCTCACATCCTTCGGGTCTTTTAAAAAAATTAACATCTAAAATATGGACTGAAAAAATCTTAGGTTTAGGACATTTCATTTGAAGATTTTTTTCCTTATTTGATAGGATTTTTACTAGTCTGAAGATGATTTGGATCTGATAACTATTTCTGTCATTGCTTTAGACTTTCTAAGTCTCTATCAGGTGAAATGCCAAAGTAATTTTCCTTTCCTAAATGAATCCAAATTATAGATACAATTGGAATTAGAATCCTGGGTCTAGATTATCGTTTTCTATCTTCAGGTTGATGATATACTCTAGTAAGAATTTAAGGTAGCTGAAGGAAACTGGACTTTGGGTGATGAACACACAATAGAATATACAGATGTCAAATGATAATGTACACCTGAAAATTATATGATTATATTAACCAACGTTACCCCAGTAAACTTAATTAAAAAAATAATGATTTAATGCTACATTGTACATTAGCATTTAATAGATATTGATTAACAGTGCTGATTTCATGGAGGGCTTCTTCATGGAAATGTTAATATTTGAATAGCAACATTTTTTAAAACGTGATGCTTCCAGAAAGATTTAAGGATATTCAGGCATTGTTTTTTCATTTCCTGAATTAGTTCATTAGGAATTTTGCCTTTTCTGTGCACAGTTCTTTCCTAATCATTATGTGGATGATATGAAAGATGAAGAATGGAGTTTGAATTAGGCCTTTAAGAGTGGGTGTGAATTTGATAGACAGATAATAGGCACAAGAGACAGTGTGAGCTGTGGAATCTAATCCTGGATAAGTACTTAGGTGCCAAACTAGAGGACTCTAAAGGCAAAATTGAGTTTCATTGTATATTTGTGCAGTGGAGAAACTTCAGTGTTTGTGAAAAGGCAGTCATCTGGTTAGTTTTGAAATGTTGGAGGATAATCAACATGGTGAAAATGATAAGAAAAAAACTGAGGTAGGGGAATCAAGCTGTTGTAACTAGAGGTGAAGTAATATAGTGGCAGTGGAAGGTAGCAAATGGAGGCTTTATAAAGCTAGAATTAGTAATGGACTCTTGTTAGAAAAGTAATAGAAGACTTAATAATCATGATAAGTATGGGAAGAAGGAAATGATGTGATCTTAAAGAGTAAGGAGGCTGAGAGGTGGGATTTGAATTCTAGAGGGATTTCTGAGACAGGGTTTTGTGGTTGATTGGGTGTGAGCATAATTGTTAATTCCAGGGCTTGTAGCTTAGGAGCCTGGAAGATTGTGCCATTATCGAGGAGGAATACTGTAGGCAGAGCAGGTTTGTTAGGGAGAAATAGTGAACTGTGTTTCGTATTAAGTTTGTGGTGCCTGTAGGCCATTTAAGCTATAACCAGAAGGCATCTTGAAATTTATAACAGGGAAGTAGAACCTGGAGATGGAAATTTGTGTAAGTGGTAGTCTTGCATGGATGAGCACAGATTCTTATTTGAGATTATTGGTTAGGTGAAATTGCAAGCAGATGTTTATGTCCATCTGTTTAGTAGACAATCCATAGCATTCAGTAGATTTTCAAAGGGATTCATTATCCCAAAAAAGTTAAGAGCCACTGAAGTAGAATAAATAGACCAAAGCGGTAACTCTGGCAAATATTTTAAGAGGTAGGCAAAGGAAGAGGAACCTGAGGACTAGTGAGATGTATAAGAATCAGGAAAAAAGAAATAAGGGCATGAGAGGAGAAATTAAAACTGTATGTTGATCATTGGATAAGTTTGAAACACTTTTTGAATGTAACTGAGAGGTTATAATGTCATCTCCCTAGAGATACTAATTGAAGTGGACAAGATGAGAAAACATATGTCAGAACAGAGCCAAGGAATGTCTGACTATATGTCAATAGTGGGCAAGCAACTGAAGACAACAGAGGAAGTGTGGTCAGAGACTAGAGAACAGGAGTACATATTATCAAAGGAGCCAAGGGAGATAGTGGTCACTAAGGGATTGGTACTGAATATTAGACAAGCTATTGTATTTGTTGATTTTCAACTCCTAAAAAACAGATGGTTCCAACCAAAATTTTATTGTGATCATATTCCTCATGGTACAATATCCTGTCTTATTAAGGTTTTTGTGATTATGACAGGCTAGTAGAACTATCATTTAGTCAGCATTTTCTGTTGTGTTTTTTTTTTTTTTTAACATGCATTAGTTAATCCTCATAACCACACTCCCAAGGTGGTTACTTTGTAAGTGAGGAAACAAGATACAGAGAGGTTATTTAACCTTCCCAAGGACACACAGCTAGGACGTGAGAGCGTCCCAGTCTGTCTGGTTCCTGAGTGACACTCAACCAAAGAGTTGAGTTGAAAAAATATGTGCTTTCAATAAGAGAAAATAGCCGTTGTCTGCTTATGCTTCTGTCACTCTTTAGTCTTTTTAAAAACTAAGTCGTTCACTCAGAAGACATTTATTAAGCACCTTTTATGTGCCAGGATTCACATGATCCCTTAGAACAAATTGTGGGATGGAGTTGGGTAATATCAGTGCTGTACAGAAGGAATATGTGAAATGCTGTGAGGAAAAAAAGAGACCTGAGTGCCGTGGGGCTGTCTTTGTATGATTTCACAGACTTTTGAGCTGAGGGTTGATGTATGACTAGGAGTTTGCTTTGAGAAGTACATTCTAGGTAGAGCAAAATGGACATGCAAAGGCACAGAAATTCGAAAACAGCACATCAGATCAGGAGTATAGAGTGCCTTA